CATTGGGAGATTCAGAATGTTGAACCTTGTTGTTTATTTTTGGGGATTTTTGGGGAGGCCTTTATTGTTCGGGGACACGGACTGAGCTGGCGTTTTTCTAGTGAGCTCAGGTTGCACAACCCGTGGCTTGCCGGAGTGTTGTAGCAGACAGAGACGTGACCATGAAGGCGCGCATGATGTGAGCTGATTGACCAAACATGCCACAGCGTCGTGTGTCACCGCGAGTCATGCGTCGTGCGCCGGCATCCAACATCTTCCCGGACGAAGACGACCACTCCCAAGGCGGACACCTACCATCAGCAACCAAAACCCCTAAACATTTCATACCCCAGAAAGCACATGTTTTTTTAGCAAAACTCAGAGTTTTGGAAAACGGTGGTTTTGAGGCTATTTAGTGTGACGCTCGCTCTCGCTTCGTCTCGTCAATGCCAACATGAGATGATCTCAAGGGCCGCGCTTTGCCCATTCAATTCGCTCTGAAGGCCTTTGCAATCCTCAAGGTTTAATCTGATAGTTTGATTTTTTGGGAATTGTTGTTTCCTTCCTAGAATTTGGTTGATCTAGCCCGCGGGCCCTTCATTTGCGTGTGCAAGCTTGAAGCAGAACACACACTATCTGGAGCCGGCCTGCTCGCGGGGAACGAGAAAAGCCAGTAAATTTCCGCGGGTTAGAAAAGCACGACGTTTCCCCCAAAATTGATAGGGTTTCCACGCTCTACTGGTTTTCCACGGTTTTCTACAGATAGTCTACTGGCCACCTCGCAAACAAAAATCAAAAACACAACACTCCCAAGCCTGCACGCAACAGGTTTAAAACTCAATATCCCATTAACTGTTGATTTGGGGCATGCGTTTCTCAGGCCATTGGGAAGGAAAGGGGCTCAGGTCCCCTTCTATGAAGCAGATCTGAGGACTGGAATTCTCGGAATGGGCGGAGCCGATAGCCAGAATCGCACATATTGTTCCAGGAAACCTCCAGCAGCTTTCAGCTTTCAGCCTTTTTCGAGAACTTTGGACTTATGGGCCTGGCTTCAAGCAGTGCACCGTCAGGAAGCGGCACGGGAAACCCTGCAAGAGATCAAGCACAGCACCGTTTGAACAAACACGTTTTTTTTCTTTTTCCGAACGAACACGGCGTTTTCAGAATATGTTGCAAAAACACTGTGTGTTCCCCTAGGTACGTCAAATTTATAGGCTTTGGTTGGTATAGGTAGTCAGAGATTAAAAAGCCCAGAACTTGATCGTGCTTTATCAAGCTTTATCACGGTTTATCATTCTCCTGGTTGCAAGGGCTATGTCGGCATAGCTAGACCCTGCTGCACTGCGCTCAACGCCGTGTGATCCCTTGCTTCCATTGAGCGTCACGTGCTGTGTGGCGCGCGGAGGCTGAAGAGCCGACTATGGCGGAGGACAGGCTGAATCATTGCACCCAGTTCATTTCTGTGTGTAAGCCTTTGTCATCTGTTGTCACTTGCCACTGCGTGTCACCATGTGCCAGACTTGCGCTGGGAAGCTTCACTCATGTATGGCCGATGCGATTCGGCTCGATCCGATTTTTCGATTCGACCAGTGCCGAAGCGATTCGACCGATCCGATTCGACCAACCCTCAAGGCTCTGGGGGCACAACTGATGGAAGTCTCCAGAAACAGCATGCTCCCAGATGCGTTTTCCCGGCCCCGAAAAATGCATCTAGACGAGCGGTGGGTATGGTTTTCGGGAAGAATGAAAACCAGATGCTTTTTTTGGGCCCGGCAAAACGCATCTACGTGTCATGCTGCTTCCGTTCCTATGCTCGTTTCCGGAGCTGGCCCTGGACCATGGTTTTGGCAAGAATGAAAGCCAGATGCGTTTTTCCGGCCCGGCAAAACGCACTTAGACCTCGTTTTCCTCTTGCAGTAGTCGTCGTAGTAGTAGCAGTTGTAGTGGCAGTTGAAATAGCCCGGCAAGACGTCAAATGCGTTTTTTCGGCCCGGCAAACGTTTAGACCTTGTGCTGTTTTGATACTGGTAGTAGTAGTAGTCGTAGTAGTAGTACCTCGCTTTCCTCTCGCAGTAGTCGTCGCAGTAGTAGCAGTTGTAGTAGTAGTTGAAATAGCCCGGCAAGACGTCAAATGCGTTTTTTCGGCCCAGCAAAACGCGTTTAGCCCTCGTGCTGTTTTCGTGCTGGCAGTCATGCAGCAGTAGTAGTCGTAGCAGTGGTGGTAGTAGTCGTCGTAGTAGTAGTAGTAGTAGCAGTAGTAGTCGTAGAACTATTAGTGCCAGTGGTGATAGTAGTAGTAGTAGTAGTAGTAGTAGTAGTAGTAGTAGTAGTAGTAGTAGTAGTAGTAGTAGAACTCACCCGGAAACACGCCAGATGCGTTTGGAAACATCTGGAAACATCTGGGAGCATGCTTCTTCTAGGAGATGCCCTGAGAATGCACAGCTTGTCTAGATGCATTTTTCGGGGCCGGGAACACGCATCTAGGAGCATGCTCCTTCTAGGAGCTGCCTCGAGAATCCACCGCTTGTCTAGATGCATTTTTCGGGGCCGGGAAAACGCATCTATAGGAGCATGCTTCAAATAGCTGCCTTGAGAACCCACCGCTTGTCTAGTTGCATTTTTCGGAGCCGGGAAAACGCATCTGGGAGCATCTGGGGGCGTGCTCCTTCAAGGAGCTGCCTTGAGCTTGTCTAGATGCATTTTTCGGAGCCGGGAAAATGCATCTGGGAGCATGCTCCTTCAAGAAGCTGTCTAGATGCATTTTTCGGGGCCGGGAAAACGCATGTGGGAGCATGCTCCTTCTAGGAGCTGCCTTGAGAATCCACCGCTCGTCTAGATGATTTTTTCGGGGCCGGGAAAACGCATCTGGGAGCATGCTCCTTCTAGCTGCCTTGAGAATCCACCGCTCGTCTAGATGCATTTTTCGGGGCCGGGAAAACGCATGTGGGAGCATGCTCCTTCTAGGAGCTGTCTTGAGAATCCACCGCTTGTCTAGATGCATTTTTCGGAGCTGGGAAAACGCATCTGAGAGCATGCTCCTTCTAGGAGCTGCCTTGAGAATCCGCTTGTCTAGATGCATTTTTCGGGGCCGGGAAAACGCATCTGGGAGCATGCTCCTTCTAGGAGCTGCCTTGAGAATCCACCGATTGTCTAGATGCATTTTTCGGAGCCGGGAAAACGCATCTGAGAGCATGCTCCTTCTAGGAGCTGCCTTGAGAATCCGCTTGTCTAGATGAATTTTTCGGGGCCGGGAAAACGCATCTGGGAGCATGCTCCTTCTAGGACCTGCCTTGAAAATCCACCGCTCGTCTAGATGCATTTTTCGGGGCCGGGAAAAGCATCCTGGAGCGTGCTCCTTCTAGGTGCCTTGAGAACCCACCGCTTGTCTAGATGCATTTTTCGGAGCCGGGAAAACGCATCTGGAACATGCTCCTTCTAGGAGCTGCCTTGAGAATCCACCGCTTGTCTAGATGCATTTTTCGGAGCCAGGAAAACGCATCTGGGAGCATGCTCCTTCTAATTAGGAGCTGCCTTGAGAATCCACCGCTTGTCTAGATGCATTTGTCGGAGCCGAAAAAACGCATCTGGGAGCATGCAAAACTCATCTGGGAGCATGCTCCTTCTAGGAGCTGCCTTAGGAATCCACCGCTTGTCTAGATGCATTTTTCGGAGCCGGGAAAACGCATCTGCGAGCATGGGAGCTGCCTTGAGAATCCACCGCTCGTCTAGATGCGTTTTTCGGGGCCGGGAAAACGCATCTGGGAGCATGCTCCTTCTAGGACCTGCCTTGACAATTTACCACTTGTCTAGAGGCATTTTTCGGAGCCGGGGAGCATGCTCCTTCTAGGTGACTTGGGAGGCCCAGGGCCAACTCCGGAAACGAGCGTAGGAACGGAAGGAGCATGACGTGTAGATGCGTATTGCCAGGCCCAAAAAACGCATCTGGCGTGTTTCCGGGCGAGTTACTACTACTACTACTACTACTACTACTACTACTACTACTACTACTACTACTACTACTACTTTTATCACTACTACTACTACTACTACTACCACCACTACTACCGCTATACAACTGCCAGCGCGAAAACAGCACGAGGTCTAAATGCGTTTTGCCGGGCCAAACAAACGCATCTGGCTTTCATTCTTGCCAAAACCATGGTCCAGGGCCAACTCCGGAAACAAGCGTAGGAACGAAGGGAAAATGAGGTGTAGATGCGTTTTGCCGGGCCCCAAAAAAAGCATCTGGCTTTCATTCTGCAATATATTTTATTCGACGTAGCAGTGGTAGAACTAGTAGTAGTACTAGTGGTACTGGCAGTACTAGTAGTAGTAGTAGAAGTAGTAGTAGTAGTAGTAGTAGTAGCAATCGCAGAAGTGGCAAGAGTAGTAGAAGGTAGAAGTGGTAATAGCAGTACTAGGACTTGTTCTAGTACTAGTACCAGTAGTAGCGGTAGTAGTAGTATGTAGTAGTAGCTACAACTCGTCGTTCTATTGTAGTAGTAGTATTTCTAGCAACAGCATTAGTACTAGTAGTCCTAGTATTAATAATGTTAGTAGTAGCAACCGTTGTAGTAGTAGCAGCAGTGGGTACCAGTAGTAGCAATGTACAAATAGTAATAACAGTCGTATTTGTACTACAGGGGAACGACAAAGTCATGCCTAAGTCATGCCTGGCTGGTTCCCCCATTGTAAACGCCCATGCAAGAAGTCATGCCTAAGTCCTGCCTTCGACTCTTTCCCCACTGTGAACGCAAGAGGTAACCGCCAAAAAAACTTAGCATGTGCCATACAAAGATGAATTTGCAATGCCAGGGGACAAGGAGGAGGGCATAATTTTCTTGTTGATTGGGTCATGCGCAACGCCTTCCCCCCATGCAAACGCAAGATGCAGTAGCCTTGTACTCAGGTTCTCCTTCCGTCCAAAAGGTGAATCAGCATCGTGGGGAGGTGGTTGGTCAAATTGCGCTTTCGCCGATGGAAACGCAAGATGTCACAGAATGCCAAAACAAAGGATCATATCAAATCTGCCTCGGACTGTTATTTTCCCACACTGCAGACGGGTGGGAAACAAACCGCAGGCCGCGGTTGTACCGTTGAACGGCAGCCCAAGCCTCTCTCTTCTTGGAAGTTGTGAGAAGTTGAGGCCCAATCACATTTTTGTAAAACACTTCTGAGAGCTTCTCTGATTTGCTGGCCTTGCTTCTGAGCCAAGAGACAAAAAACTCGGCCAACCCTTTCATGCCATCACGTTTCTCGCTGCTGAAGCACTGCAGCACCCAATCAATGCAGTCTGCTTCATTGTCAAGGTCCCACTCCGTTCGCACGATGGGCTGATCACCCGAAGCTGCAGAGGTTCCTGGCACAGTCGCTGGCACAGAAGCAGGAGTCGCAAGAGCTTTGGCAGCTGGTCCTTGAGCTGCTGGTGCAGGAGCAGACGCGTCAGACTCTGCAGGCTGCGCTTGGCTGCCCCGCTTCCGCAGCTTGGAAAGTAGGTCCCCCATGCCGCGCTCCATCTTCTCTTCTGCTGCATTTTCTGGCACAACGGCGGACGGAGCAGGCGGCTTGTACCAACCACTTCTTCGGCCAGATCGGACTAGCTCAGCAGCCTCTTCTGAAAAAGCTGTGTTCGGCTCGCCGCAGGCCGCGCAGAAGCGATCTGCCAGAGACACCTTCTGGGAGCAGCCTGCTTTGGAGCAATGAACCTTCTTTGGGCTCACAGCCGCCAGCAAGCCCAGCACCGCAGAAGTCTTGGTTTGCGGCTTTGCGTCAAAGCCAGCGCCAGCACGCTTTGAAGAAAACAGCTCCTCAAACCGCTCCTTTAGAACCACATTTCTCTGCAGCAGCTCGCCAGGCACAAAGCCACACCTTGCCCAGCCAGCACGTTGGTTTTGCTCAGACAGACCCTCCATGACGATCCTGCGAATGAGGCTCAATGCCATGAAAACATTAATGTCCCTTCCTTGGCGAGACAACTGAGCCTTCACAGCAGCCCACCGCGCACTCATGATGCTATGAGGCTGCTGGTCAAGCGCGCAGAGAGCTGCTGTAGAATAACTGGGCAAGACGAAGAGCTCCACGCCATACCGCTCCAGTAACCTTGCGTGCGCTGAAAACATTGAAGCTGGGACAGGTAAAAGCAGCACTAAACACAAAGAGGGTTCCTTGAGCTGGTTCCCAGTAAAAACGATGGAGTCAAGCAGCACCATGACCGAGGGAGTCACATGAATCATGCTACCTCCGCCAGTGTCAAGGATTAAGAGGCACTTCTCTTCTCTATCCGGCCATCTTTCTCTCAAAGGCTTCAGGCAGCACCTTTCCAGCATCTGCACAAAGCTAGCCGCAGTTTGGCTGCCGCCAGGGTTTGCAAACAGCTCCGCCTCGGGCCAGATGCGCGAAAAGGATTCATGCAGGCGCTTCTGAGGGACAATGACTCCAACCGGCAGTGGCTGACCTTGCATAGGCAGCCACGAGCATACCGTAATGTGCTCAAAGCTCGTGACTGCTGACACTGTAGCAGCCTTCGAGCGACCACTTTGAGTAATGATCCCGCGCATCTGAGTGAGGACGTCGCTCCTAGAAGAGAACCCCTTCTCGTCAGCTATGATCACACGCCCAGAGCTTGAGGCGAGCAGCACTCCGCTGGCAGACATCAGCCCCAGGCGGGTCAGCATCTTCTGAAGGGTGTCAAAGGCTTGCTCGATAACCTTTGGCTCCATCACGGCAGCCTGGTGCAAAGTCTTGGCCTTGAGCTTCTGCAAGGACAGGCTGTCTTCACGGGGCTGCGTGGCCTCGACCCATGCTCTGAAATCGCGCCAGAAGTGGGCAAAGCGAGGCCGGCGCTCAGCGAGCTTTGCTTCTAAGTCATCCCCGCACTCGTCCGCGCCGATCTCACCCAGCCTATGGCGCTGAGCTAATTTCAACTGGGGTTAGCGAAAGCAGCCAGCCACTCAAAAAAACATAACACACAGAATCACAATTTAGAATCCTGCTGATAAGGCGCTTTTCTAACTTCATCAAAACTGCCGCAGTTTCCAGCTGCTCAATCGAGAGGGCGGTACCGGTTCTTTGATGCCACTTCACATAGCAAAGAAGGTCTTGCTTCTCACGCTCCCCCAAGGATTCTTGAGGCGTGCGGCCCATCTTGAATTGAGCGGGAACATCCCAGGGAAGGGCCCCGTCCCCGAAGCTCTTGCGCAGCTTGTACAAGTAGTGCCTGTTTACACGCAAGCTTGTCAGCTGCTCAGCTGCCTTCGCTGGGCTTGTGATAGGGCAAGACTCACGAGCCAAGAGCTGGTGCAGCAAAGCGTAGAATTCCCACCTCTTTTGGTCGTGTGCGGAAGGATTTTCCGCATACTGTGCAAAATCTGCCTGCAGATCATCAAGCGTGTAGTCCACTGGGAGCACCACGGAAGCAACACCATTCTCAAACGCAGCCCAGCGCGGAGCATGCGGAGGCGGCTTGTCTGCCTCCGTCTCTGTGTTTGCAGCATACTCCCCCATGTAGCCTGCAATCTCGTCCCTGAAGCGCTGCTTATGCTTTTCACTGAAAGCTCGCCACTGGGCCATGTAGTCCTTCTGCATCCTCTTTTCCGCCCCATGCCGGTGTGCCTGCACGCGGGCAAACCAACAGAGTTCTGATTCCCTCGCCCTTCGCTTCCACCCCAGCTCCGGCAGGGCCATGTCGCTCAGCTTCCTCTTCTTGCCTCCAGCCGGCGCACTGACAATGGCTGCGCCCTCGCCGGTCCGGTCAAAGTTCTGAGACTCCTCGATGGCCGCGGCGGCATTCTCGTCGGATCTGGCCTGCTTCTGAGACTCCTCCATGGCAAGCTCTATCTTGCACTGATCCTCGTAGCAGAAAAAGCAAACCCTGACCACAGGAGACTTGTTGTCCGCTGACACCGCAGCCCCGCACAATGCGCAACCATTCTCATTGGCAGCAGGTTTCCCAAGTCCACTCACAGCCTTCTCTGCAGCAAAGCAGGCGCGGCAGAAGTTTGCCAGGGCTGAGGCGTTGGAACCAGTAATGGCGGTTGCGCAATCTACCTGGGACAGCTGGCATCACTGAAAATGTGTCACTCCAAGCAAAAGCACCGAAACAACATGGTGAAAGCGACTGCTAGAAACAAGTTGAAGGACGCAGCTTGGGAGAGTCTTGTGGGAAGAAGAAGCCACTTCAGCCAAGAACTGCAGCTGGCCTTGTAGATCTGCCTCAGGCACATCTGCCAAAGCACTAGCGGAACTCTGCGGAGGCGGAGGTGCCTCGTTCGGCGGCGGCAGCGGCGGCTCAAGCAGAGCAGCTGCTGAAGCTTGCAACGCCGCTGGTGCAGGTGGCGCAGCTTCTCCTCCCAATTTTGGCACTTCAAAACTCGGAAAAAACGAGATGCAAAACGAGATGGAAACGAGATGGGAACGAGATCTGAAATCAGTCAAACTTGGCCCACTCTGCTCAAGCTTCAAAATTGACAAAAGCTGGACAACAAAGTTGCGCCTGCACCGTTTGCTACAGGCTTCGAAAACTGTGAGTCGTGCATCTTCCTGGCTAGCGCGCTCCGAACCTCAAGGAGCAACTTGCCGTCGGTGTCGACGCCCCATTCATCACACAGCTCATAGAGGTTCGGCGCGGCCAGCCGAACGATCTGAGCTTCAGTCAGCCGCTTGGGGGCCATGGGTTGCTGCCAAATGCCCCTACGCCCACTACATGAGCAAGGCAGAAAGAAACTCAAACACGGTCTTGGCTAAAAAAGGCTTCTGTCAGTACTGTGCTCTCAGCATGCAGTTCATCCAACCGTGCGCTGCAGTCAGGCTCAGCACTTGCAACAAATCAAAGCACGACTGCACGCGACTCTTCGAGACAATGTAAAAGATTCTGCCAAAGATTCGATGCGAAGAAAAGCACATGAAGACAAGGTATTTGCGCTCTGAAGTTTGTCCCTTTTCCTTCACCTCGGCCCAAGGCTGCGAAGGATGCCCCAATATTCCCCTATTGGATCTCTCCTGCTCCATACTTAAAATCTCTCATTGGCTTTTGAGGCAATGAGAGCAGCCACACTTATCAGATTCGCCAAGAGATGTTCGCACCACTTGGGATACCTGATGCACAAAACCTAAAAGGCAATGGCTATCCAAAGCCTGATAGCTGCGACTCGTCTTTAAAAGAGCGCACGCACGGACACAACTGTAGCACCAAGAGCCGGTCACTTCACGGGTCCGGTTTGGACGCTTGTACTCCCAGCGAACAGCATGCTTTGCATTGCGGCACACGCAGCATTCAGAACTCTCGGGAACAGGCTGACCCTTTGGAGTGTGCCTGTTCCCTGACGGTAGGTCAGCCTTGCGCAACAGCTCAAAGATGTTGCTGTGCTCTTCCCGAAGTGCCCGCGCAAAGGCGGTTGGATTGCCAACCTTGGATTGGGATGGAAATATGTCCTGTGGATGACACCGTTCAGTCCTGCAAAATCACTTGGCTCATGTTGCGCTCTCCTGGAGGCCGCGCCCCAAGACCCTTGCATTAACCCCCATCTCTGCAAACCCCAAACATTAAAACACCCTAGGCAACCCAGCGCCACCATCACCACCATCACCACCATCACCACCACCACCACCACTACCACCACCACCACCCCTTACGACCGAAAGCAAAGCAAACCACAACAGCGCCAACAAACACGATTCAACCGTCAAAAAGCAAGGCGCGCAACAGCAACTGCAAACAGTAAGCAGTCAGCAAACAGCTAGGCAAAACCACCCCAACCACAGCAACAACAACCACAGCAACAGCAACAGCACACAAGAGAGTAAAAACCACCTGGGAAACAAGGCGAAACACAACAGTCGCAGCAAAACACAAAAAAACAGCCGAGCAAAGCAAAAGCAAACCCTAGGCCAAGGCTCAGGAGCTTCTGCTGGGTCGGGCTGACGTCGCTGAAGGACCTCGGCAGTCACAAAGTACAACTCCCCTGTGGCGGTCACCTCCCGGACCACCACCACCAGCACCACCACCACCACCGCCAACACAACCATAACCGCCAGCGACAGCAGAAGCTACAGCAGCCCCCACCAAACAAACAAAAGTTGAAATCCCGTCAACACCGCGCAGCCCTCACGCTGCCGAGGCCGAGCTCCATCGGCCAAACCCTTACCCCAACACTAGCTACGGGAGTTTACCATTGTAAGTTTACTTCTACGTCCCTTCAAACTGCAGTTGCGGCAGGGTCCGTTACCAGTCTGTTTCAAACAAAGCTCTTAAGGTGAAGCTGCCTTTGAAGCCCAAAACCCGCGTAAGCTTCGTTCTCTTGAAAAGGGTTCAAAAAGGAAAAGGTTAAAAGCGTACTCCTCAAAAAATCCTGCACTTAACACTGCGCCGGCTGCTTCTCGCAAGGCACCTGCGGTACAGGTGAAGGTGTGCTGGCGCACTCCTCCCGACATCGCTTCCTTGTCGGCGTCTCTGCTGCCATTGCTCTCGGCCCAAATGGCTCAGAGCAATCCAAGACCCCAAATGGCTCCAGGCCATCGAACGAGTATCAAAAACACAGAGCCGTCCACAAAACCCCAGAAGATCGCAAAACAAAGTCTGTCACGCTGCAAACAGCAGGTTGCTGTGAGATCTACCAATCAAAGCAGGGAAGCCCGCCCACCAAAAATGCTGGCATTCCATTGTATCTTAGCAACATATTCTCACATAGAAGCACCGGACATGGAAAGGTGGCGACCCAATGAAAAAACTGCATAAACACAGGAATCCGAACCCCAATGTAAACGCAACACACATCTGCTTTCAGGACCTACTGGGCCCAGGTCTGGAACTGGCAAACCCCACTGTAAACGCAAGCCCAACTGATCACACAGCAAAATGCAGCCCTCACAGTGCACCATCAGAGTTCGTATGCGTTCGGCATTCCTTCGTATCTTAGCAACATATTCTCACACAGAAGCGCCGGACATGGAAAGGTGGCGACCCAAGGTAAGAATTGCATAAACACGGGAATCCGAACCCCCATGTAAACGCAACATACATCTGCTTTCAGGACCTCCTGGGCCCAGGTCTGGAACTGGCAAAACCCACTGTAAACGCAAGCCCAACTGATCACACAGCAAAACGCAGCACTCACAGTGCACCATCAGAGTTCCTATGCGTTTCCCGGAAAGGCACGACTTCTTCGACATGCTTCCCCGCACCTAAATCTAACAACGCCTACTCCGGAGGCACGACTTTGTCATATGCCTGTAGTTGTCGTAGTAGCAGCAGTAATCGAAATAGAATTTCCAGTAGTAGTGGTAGTCGTAGTAGTAGTTGTGCCAGTTTTAGTGCGAGTAGTTAAACACTGTAGTAGTAGTAGTAGTAGTAGTAGTAGTAGTAGTAGTAGTAGTAGTAGTAGTAGTAGTAGTATTAGTATTAGTAGTAGTAGTAGCAAAACTAGGAATAGTATTATTAGTAGCAATAGTAGTGGTGGTAGAAGTAGTAGTAATGCTACAAGTAGTAGTAGTAGTAGTAGTAGCGGTGTAGCAGGACTAGTACTAGTAGTAAGAGTAGTAGTAGTAGTAGTAGTAGTAGTAGTAGTAGTAGTGGTGGTGGTGGTGGTGTTGGTAGTTGTTAGGAGCAGTAGTAGTAGTAGCAGGAGTAGTTGTAGTAGTAGTAGTAGTAGCAGCAGCAGTAGTAGTAGTAGTAGTAGTAGTAGTAGTAGTAGTAGTTCAGTATTAGCATTTGTATAAGAAAATAAGTTAGTATTAGTGGTAGGAGTAGCAGTAATAGTAGTAATGTAGTGTGCTAGTATCAGTACTACTATTAAAACTAGTCGTGGCAGTAATAGTAGTAGGAGAGCAGTAGTAGTAAGGGATTTAGGGGTCTGCATTTGCTAGCCTTTGGAGGACAACGTTGACCACTGTTCTTTTGTCTCCTTTCCTTCCGGAAGCCCAGATCGGTATTTCTGACTTTGTTTATTTTTGTAGAACATAGTTTAAACAAAGCTTTTGCGGGGACTTGAATGAACAACGATAGCCTGTTTGCACTGTCCAGGACACGCTTGAGCAGAGCTGTGTGTTTGCCTTAACCGGCCATGGCCCATAGTTGATCATTGGCCAGAGCTCGGGTAGATCATAGTTAATTTAGATTGCCAGTTCCTTCCTTCCGGATTTGTTGTTTCTCTCTGCTTTTGGGCATATGTATCATAAGGTCTTTTCATATCTGCCTGTGGGGGCAAAAACAGGATGAATGTGTTATTGCTGAGTCCTTTCTGGCCTCAGTTGGTTAGATTGTGTTGTTTGAACATGGCGTACAATATGCGTACACTATCTTCTGAGGTCCTTTGCTTCTGACAGGATGTTTGATAAGAGCTGTTGTTAGTTCCTTTTCTGCTGGAACCGGAGTGGACAGGGTCTTTGTCATTGTATGGCTTTGTCCCTCGGGGACATATCTAATCAGCGCTCTTCTCAATACCTTCTGCAAGACATAGTTGGTCAGAGCGTGGTTCATACAACTTCATTGCGCCCTTTAATTGTTTGTGCCCTCCACAACCTTACGCAGAGTGACGCCCAGCCCATTTTGGCCGCTGCAGCCTATCTTGCTCCAATCTTTATCTGGCGCCCGCCCGTTTCGCTGCCATGCTTTTCGCAGCAAACAGCCCGGCAGTGGTGGTCTGCCACGAGGAAGAACCGTGGCAGCAAGCGTTGCGTGTTTCACCGTTTACCTGTGGAACTGCTTAACAATTGTCAAAGCTTGTCTAAATTCAGACAACATCCTTGCTCAATGAAATCAAGTTGCCATTGAATTTATTCCCTAGATGGCTGAAAGCTATAGAAGGGAACGTGATATGCGAGATTGACGGCAGGGTGCTAGGGGGCATGCAGTTTGGGGTGCTGGTGCAGGTGCTGTTTGAGGGTGGGGGCGCATTTTTGCGAGATCGACGGCTGGTGCAAGTGCTGCTTGAGGTGCTGGTGACGGTGTGGGCGCATTATTGCGAGACTGATGGCCGGGTGCTAGGGGGCATGCAGTTTGGGGTGCTGGCGGAGGTGCTGTTGGAGCGCTTCTTTGCGAGATTGGGTGGCTG